CGGGCTGCGCCGCCCTGCGCGCCCCGCCAGGCGCAGCTCCCGTGCGGGTGCAGAGCTCCGGGGGGCACAGGGGCACGTGTCTGTATCTGGGCAGGAGTGACTGTGTCGGTCTGTACAAGTGTCTGCACACCCGCCTCGCGTCCACACCCCTGTGTGTGTGCAGGGGGTGCAGGTGCCCGTGTCCCCCGCATGCCCGACCTGCGCGCACCTGCAGGGAGTGTCGGGCTGTGCGTGCCGTGCTCCTCTCCAGCCCCTACTGAAGCTGCCGCACGGTCCAGGATCGCGTCTGGTTGGGTGTTGACTATCTCCAAGGATGGAGACTGCAGCCTCCCTGGGCACCCTGCACCTTGTCCTGTCACTGGGCTCCAATGGGAAGACCCAGGCTCTGTCCTCTTTGCACCCTCCCTGCAGGTATTTCTACCCAGTAACAAGATCCCCCTTAATTCCCTCTGCTCCAGGCTGAGCAGACTGAGCTCTCACAGCCTCTCCTCACTGAACAGATACTCCAGCCCCTTCACCACTATCACGGCCCTTTGCTAGAGTCACCCTAGAAAGTCCACACTCCACCCAGGTGAGACCAGGCTGGAGGTGACACAAAGATTCAGCCCCGCCCTCGGTGCTCCTCTGCTCTACTCTGCTGGCAGCACCCTGCACAGGGCAGCCGGGGCTGCTGGTGGCTTCTGCTGTGAGGACATGTCTCTGGCTCTTGCTTTGCCAGTGCCCAGCAGAATCCCATGGTTTGTCCCAAAAGAACTGCTTTCCCGATGATGGCTCAGTCTGTGCTGGTGTATTTCCCACCTGGGAACCGGGGTCTGTCTCCCCTGGAAATACCCCGGGAGCATGGCTGGACTGGGGGGCAGTGCCCACCCTTCACCCCTTGATGGCCCCAGTGCCCTGGGGAAACGTCGCACAGGGTGGCCAGTGGGTCCAGGAACTCCCATCCGGTTGTATTGTTCATGCCTCCCAGAGCGATGCTGGCCCTGTCCTAGAGAAGTGTCCCACTGGCATCCAGCTTCACTTCTCTCTGCCAAGAAGGGGTTGGAAAGGGAAGGGAGAGAAAGCCACCATGATACCTCCAGTCCAGCTCATGCTTCCTGAGCCAGCCTGGGGGTTATTTACTTGCCCAGTTTGATGTTCAGCCCTGCTGAGTTCTGCACACTGGGGGTGAGCAGGACAGTTTGCAGAGCCCTGCGCAGCTGGGCGTGCTGCAGGGCAGGAGGGCTGGCAGCCAGATGAGGCAGTGGAGCCTTATCTCACCTCATCCGGGTTTCCCGAACAGCATGAACAGAAGCCAGTGCCACAGACTGGGCAGAGTCCACTCTGCAGCTGTGATATGGCTGCTAGGTGCTACCAGTTACATCACCTGAGGCGTCACAGACATCTCTGAGCTGCTCTGGCACCCAGCTAGGCCCTGTCCCATGGAAAGACATTTCCACCCTGGAG